AATAATCTGATTAAAATGGGCAGAGGATCTGAATAGACATTTTTCCGAGGAAGATGTACAGATGGCCAACAGACACAGGGAAAGATGCTCCACATCACTTATCCTCAGGGAAATGCAAGTCAAAACCACGGTGACATATCACCTCATACCTGTTATTATCAAGAAGACAAGAAATAACAAGTGCTGGCAAGGGTGTGGAGTAAAGGGAACCCTTGTGCCCTGTTGGAGGGAATGGAAATTGGTGCCGCCACAACGGAAACAACATGGAGGTTCCTCAAAAAATTAAAAATAGGGGCTCCTGGCTGGCTCAGTTAGTAGATCATGCAACTCTTGATCGTGGAGTTGTGAGTTTGAGTCCTATGTTGGGTGTGGAGATTACTTAAAATCTTTAGGGGCACCTGGGTGGCTCAGTCAGTTAAGCATCTGACTCGTGATTTTGGCTCAGGCCATGACCTTGGGGCTGTGGGATCAGGTCCCGCCTGGGGTTCCACGCTCCCCAGGGCATCTGCTCTGGGTTCTCTCTCTCCCTCTCCTTCTGTTCCTCCCCCTCTCCTCTCTTTCTTTCTCTCTTGTAAATGAATAAATCTTAAAAATTAAATCTTTATAAAAATTAAAAATGGAAATACCACATGATCTAGCAATTCCATTTCTTAGTATTTATCTGAAGACAAAACACTACCGTGAAAAGACACCTGCACCCCCATGTTCATTTCAGCATTGTTTACAATAGCCAAGATTTAGAAACAACTTTAGTTCCTTGGATGAACGGATAAAGAAAATGTGCCACACACACTGGAATATTCAGCCGTAAAAACGAGGGAAATCTTGCCATTTGTGAGAATATGGGTGGAACTTGAGGGCGTTATGCTAAGTAAAATAGGTCAGAGGAAAACAAATGCTTTATGATCTCATTTATATGTGAAATATAAAACAAACAAAAATCTGAACTCACAGATTAAGAGAACAGATTGGTGGTTGCCTAGGGGCACTGGAAGTGGGGGTAGGTGAAATGGGTGAAGAAAATACAAACTTAAAGTTACAAAATAAGTAAGTCATGGGGATGTAATGTATATTTGCAAGTTGCTAAGAGAGTAGATCTTAAAAGTTCTTGCCCGAGTGGCTCATTTGGTTAAATGTCTGACTCTTGGTTTTGGCCCAGGTCATGGCCTCAGGGTTTCGAGACTGAGCTCTTCACAGGGCTCCGCACTCAGCTCAGAGCCCGCTTGAGATTCTCTCCCTCCTTCTCTTTCCTCCTACATCCCTCCCCGTGTTGTGTGCACACACACTCTCTATTTCTAAAATAAATAAATAAAATCTTTGAAAAAAAAAGTTCTCATTCACAAGAAAACTGTAACTAAAGGTGGTAACTAGACTTACTATGATCATGTCACAATATGGTACTTACAAATATTGAATCATTAACCTCTAACTAATATTACTTGCCAATTATATCTCAATTTAAAAAGATAGTCAAGATATAAAGATATGTATACAAAGATGTTATTTTTAATGCAAAAAAAAAAAAACAGAAAAAAAACCCTAAAAGCCCAGCAAGAGGCCAACTAAATGATAGCACATCCATTCTATGGAGTACATTCTATAGCCCCTGAAAATGAGGCTGAACACGTACTGGGTGATTATCTTCACGCAGTGGTATCATGACCATGGATTTAACCTTTTCTTTGTATTTTTCCAAGTCTTCTCATGGGAACAATATCTGTAACTAGAAAAAAAGTGATCCAAGGTACCTTTTCAAAGAAGTGGGTTATTTTACCATTTCAAACCTTGAACATCCACAAAAATCAAAACTGGAAGTTCAACCTGTGGGCCACCTGAGCTATAACCAAGCCCAAATGTCACCGTGGCCATGACCACTGCCTCCAGCATCACCATTCTCGCCCTGAACACTCTAAGGGCAGTGGGCCCCGGGAGAAGGGAATTCAGAGCTTCCCATCTCTGTCTGCCAGCTTCTTCAGACCCCACTTCTGGCCTGGACCCTGGACATTGGTGTTTTGTTTTTGTTTTTCAAGCTCCTCTGACTGTAATGCACAGCCACAGGTGGAAAGCCACTCTGTTGCACTCTGCCCATTTTGCAGATGAGGCCTGGAGAAGTTCAAAGTGACATGGAGGTGGAGTCAGACCCAGGTCTCCTGATTCCTAAGATGGTTCTTTGCACTTTAGCAAAGCTAATAAAATAAAGGGTGAGTTTTTGTAGATTGACAGACTGGGAGGGCCCCAGCTGTTTTAAAATCGGGGTGTAAAGGTTTGTATAATAACATATCTTTGATCCCTGCCTCAACCCAACTCTAGAACTATGTCTGAGCAAATAGTTATTAGAAAGTATTTATCGAGCACAGTATAGTTTGGAAAGATCACTCCAGTCTAAGATAATGATAGGGAAAGGCGCTGCAAAGTCTACCTTAATGCAACTGTGTTGAGTAAGCAAAGGTGATAAAAATCAAAATACCATTATATCCAAGGCTGGCTTTACCCCAGAACAAATAAACATTATTCTAAGCAGGCCTCTGCCCTCCTACTCGGTCCCAGGATCCCTGCCTCTTGCTTTTGGCTACTGCCAGGAACGTCCTCCCACGGCTACCCTTGCAAACCAGTTATCCTAGGATGCGGAAAGTGACACGTTCTCTTTCCAGCCAACCTCGACCCGGCTCCCAATCACCCTGACACCTCATACCTTCGCAGTGAGACAGATAAAATGAAACCCTGGGATTTTTCCCTGGAAGGTGTACAGAAGAAAGAAGTTTAGACTTGAGAGTCAAAAGATCTGTGTGTGTGTTTCTGGGAAGTCCTCCACAAAGCATTTAACCCTTCAGGACCCAGATCTGTCTGTGAAAGTCATGACTACTGAGAAATCTCCGAGGCCCCCTCTGACTGTTTCAATGACAGCTTTGAACAATCCCAGCCCAGCCCTAGTTAATCTTTAACTCAGCAGAACGTGCTGTTTCGTGAGACTTGGTCCAGGAAGTTCTTAATCATTTCTGCACTTGTCCCGTTTTAAGGAGCAAAATAAATACAGCAAATGTGGGAAGTGAGAAGAATTAGATTTGTTGCGTTCTAAAGCCACCCAAATGAAGAAAACACTTCTATTGTTTGGAGGGTCTTCAAGGTGAGAGCTCTAAGCGTCTGAGAGCTGTCTGATTTCTAGGCTATGGGGAAAACACTTGATTTTCAATATTTACTCCTCAGTTTTAAAAAACCTGTGATCTTTTATTTTGAATTTTTAGCTCTCTCTCTCACTATTCATGCTCTATAGTGAGTGAAGCCCTGTTGGGATGGGAAGGGGGGAAACCCCTACCATTTGACTTGCTGAAGCAGCAAGAAAGACAAGTCTTTGCAAGAAATCTGCTTATCTAGCTTTTAAAGGGCAGATTTTATATTGCAGTCTGTGCTCATTTATTCGCAGAATTCACTGAGCTTCCATGTGAAGAAAATAATGAGCACACCAGGCAAGTTTCCTGCATTTTCAGAGCTCACCACCCACTGGAGCAGCCTGGCAATGATCAGATACCACCACCACCCCCAAAGGCATATTTACGTAATGGGATAAATGCCATAGTGAAGAATCACCAGAATGAAAGAGAACCTATAAAAGGGGGAGAGAGACTGGAAGGTGAGCAAAGGCGTCTCTTGAAGAACTGACCTTTGAAAATGAAGGATGAGGGGTTATTTGGAGAAAGAAGGAAAGGCCCAGGGGCCAGCGGCCACAGGGAAGGACAGCTGTTGGAGAGTCTTCCAACGGTCCCCTTAGGCTCTTATGAGTTATCCAGGACAGGTAGGCAATCATTTTCCTTTGGGGACTCTCCCCGTAGTTGTAAAATATTAATCTTCCCAAGTCACCTGAAACAAACCCACCTTTAAAAACATTCACTAACCTCTCCTGTATCGAATGCTCCCGTGGGCTATTTTCCCCACCATCACACACCAGTACACGGACTTCTCACCGTGAATGGTTAGCTCCATCTAAGTATTTCATGGCCTGTAGTGAGTGAGGTCCTGTGTTGGGTGGGGGGAGAAACCCCTACTCTGCAGCTGGTGCACAGGCTTTTGAAGCAGGTAGAAGTCACCTCTCTGCAAGACACCTGTTCCTGTTGTTTGTAAAGGGCAAGGGGATCCCTTTGCAGAATTTAGTTCCATTATCAAAGGTAATGCTTAAAACAGTTTGAAAGGCATTAGTGGGAGACTGCGTCCTGCTTCAGCCTCCGGAGTTGGAGAAGCAGGGGAAGCGTGGGGAGAGAGAATCAGAAGGGGCCCTTGCATCCACCTGGGCGCGACGCGGCGTACGGTGCGCACAGGTGTGCGCGGGGACTGCTGTGCCGCCTCCCAGGCAGGTGGCCGGGCCTCACCTCCTACTGTGCCCCACTGTTAAGGCGAGAGGAAGGGGAGGGCGGGTCTCCAACTCCTCTAAAAGTTACTAGGTATCCCACGCGGCAGAGAAGGAACAAGAACAGCATCCTGGGGGGTTTCTCTAGAGCCGCACAGCCCCGCCCTCGCCCTCGGCCTCCCAGCGAGCTCCGTGGTCCGGTGTCCGCGCTGCGCCGCCCCGCGCAAGCCAGGGGCTTCCCCACTCCTCAGCTCCTGGATCTAGAAATCCCGCAGAGGTAAATGCCACTTCCTGCCCCCGAACGGCTCCTCCCACCCCTCCCCGACCGAGGGAGCTGGAGCGGCCCCCACCTCCGTCCGCAGCCGCGGCCTCGGGTGCCCCCCCGCCCCCCCCCCCCGCTGCAGCCTGCCGGGCCCCTGCGTCCAGGCGGCGATGCCCGGGCGCGCTCCCCTAGGCCGCAGCGGCTGCGCATCCGCACTCGGAGGGCGGGGGGGGGGGGTCCCCGCACAGCCGTTGGAGCCCCGGGCGGGGGGCCGGGGGCCGGGACCCTCCGGGAGCTGCACGAGACCCCCCCCGGGCCGCCCCCCTTCGTCCGCAGTTACGTAACCGGCCCTGCGGGAAACCCCCGAGGGCGCAGCCCCCGCCCCCCCGCCCCGCGCACCTGGCCGCCGTTACCTGCGGGGCCGCGACGCTCCGCAGCCCGTGCGCCGGCGCCCCTGCGCCCCTGCCGGCCGCCGCGCCCTCCGCGGGGCCCGCGCCGTAGTGTCGGGGAACCTCCTCGGGCGCCGGGAAGAGCCCGCAGCGGCGCTGGAAGCGGGCGACCAGCTGGGAGTCCTGCAGGCTCCGCAGCAGCTCGGCCATGGTGCGCCCGGGCCCGCGCCCCACGCTCGCTCTGCAGCGCCGCCCGGGCGCCCGCGGGCCGGCCTCGGGGTGGGGGTGGGGGTGGGGGGCGGGCGGGGCCCGGGCGCCGGCCAACAGGTGCGCCGCGCGGGTCCTAGCGCCGCCCCGCCCCGCGCGCCCAGGTGGCCGCCTCCCCCCGCGGGCTCGGACGGGCTCGGGCGGCCCCGGCGTCGGGCCAGCTGGCAGCGGGGCGCGGCGCGCAGGTGCCTCGGCCGCGCCCTCCCGCGCCCCTCCGCGCCCCCGCGCCCGGTCCCTTCCGGCCGGCGCAGAGGTGCCACCTCGCGGGGGGCCGAGCCGGGGACACCTGCGCCGTCCTCCCTGCGGCGCGCGCTGGGCCCGCACCGACCCCACTTCCACCCCGAGCCCAAGCTGGGGGCGCCCTTCCCTCCGGCTCCCCGCACCCCGCTCCTGTTTCCTGGAAGAATGAGCCCTCTCGGGAGGATTCCCAAACTTTGTGGGTGTTTTTTTTCCCCCAAACTGTGATGCAACGTCTCCCCGCAGCCCGACCTCCCTCCTCGACCTTGCTCAAGAACCCGGGAGGTTGAGAGTCACCCTGAATCACCCGCTGGGTCCTTCCTTGCCCCTGCTCTTGTGATTTGGCAATTGGTGAGTACCCTGGAAGACGGGCGTGGAGGAAACGCTCCCCTTTTCGGGTTTTCTGCGTTGGGAAAGATGCTGCGGCCCCTCCCGCTTCTGCTGCTTTCCTGGCTCGGCCCCGGTGGCGCAAGGGCGCAGGCTCGTTCCGACACTTAGACCCCGAGGGAACCAGGGGACGCGCGGGGAGGAGGGTTGGACGTCTCACCGCGCCCTGGCCTGCTTAAGGATCTCAGCAGGACAGGAGCCTTGGTCTCCCTCCCTCCCTCCTGAATCTCCCCAGGGGTGCTGAGGTCCCTCGTGAGGGCTCCTGTGCTTCCTCACAACGACTGAGACGCACAGTGAACTCAGGCCTCCCTGATCAGCCTGCAGCAAAAGCACAGACCTAGTCCTTCTGTCCTGTCTGCGGTGGACAGCAGAAGGCTGCGTACTATCTGGTTGCACAAATGACTATGAACAAACACCGGCCACTTGCCCGTGTATCTGGTTGTCCTTTCAGATCTTTGGGATGTAGCTTTCAAGGATGATTTGGTCTCCCTCACACCTTAGTTTCTGGTCCCATTCCCAGAGCAAGATCAAGGGGACAGAGAATGCCACAACACCTGGGAGTCACTTAACTTATAGAGGAAGCACAGGGCTGCTGTCACAACCCAGTCCTGGAAGCGGAAGGCTCCTCTCCCCAATGTCACTGCCATTTACAGCTATCGGGACGGAACCCTCTAGTTGAGTTTTAAAAGCTCACGTTTGACTAACACAGGGCCTGTTCTTCTTATGTGTTAAAGAAAGAGGCTCTCCCATGAAGACACTTGAGTGATGTATCTCTGAAATATTAAATTTCCTTTCTCTCAAAGAAAAGAAGCAAAGCAAGCATGGCACATGTAACACAAAGCCAAAGAATTGCACATTCAGATAATGTCCTTTATCTCCCTGGAGGACCAAGTACTGGCTCCAGCTCCCAGTGACTTGTGATGTCACCGGGTGCCTTAGTTTTCTCTCCGTGATAAACTAATAATCTGCACTTCTTGTTTTGTAAGGCTATTGTGAAAAATCTTTAGATAAGCTCTATAAGGCAACCTGGTGACATGGCCATAGCATTCTGTTTTGCACCAGAGCCACTCAATTTAGGAGGAATCTTTGGGAGGATTTGGCTCTGAATATCTCAAGTGAGACTAAAAAGCCAGTGGCTTCTGACACTGATCTGTATGCTCTCCCCAGAACCTTTCTTTTAAGGCACAGGCTGATGTTCTGAACATAAATTTCCCAACTCATCTAATAAAAATCAATGTCCTCTAGAAGTGGTAGGCTGAAGGACTGCTCTAGCGTAACATTTAGTGGAGAAGTTACACGGTAGCCTGAAGTCGTGCATTTAAATTAATAAAGTTGATGCAGGAAAAATAACCTGTAGTTGTTTGGATAATTTAACTCTAGTCATGCCTGGGACATTTTGCTGGTTTTTTTACCCCCCGCCAGTGTAGAAATCTAGGTATTTGTACTTTGATTAATTGTGTATATATAATAATTACTAAGTGACATATTTTAAAGGAAGAGTGATGGATGTATTCACTAGGGTAAAGGTTAAGCTGCTATAACAAAGAGACCCCAAAATCTAGTGGCTTAAAGAGCACAGCTATTTATTTCCCTTTCATATAAGAGTTCTAAGGTGAGAAGTCTGGGTTAATGGGAGGCTCCATGAGGCCACCCAGCAACTCAGATTCTTCTCATTTTATTGCTTCACCACCCACTGAGACCAAGCCCAAAGTCACTGTCCTTTTCTGCATGATTGAAACTTGGTTATGGGCACATCTTAAATCCAATGAGTGTCCTGAGCAGCAGACTATGTTCCACCAGTAAGAACATGGTCACACGGCCCCAGATAGGCTTGGAAATGTCACCTCCAGCAGGGTAGCCTATGTCTAGCTTCCACTGTATTTCTGTGAGAGCAGGGAGGACAGATTTTTTTTGGTGGGCAATCAGGCATGGAAATCAAACCAGTGTTGGTTTAAATGTTGTAAAATATAAATCTGTGTTATAATTCAACCCGTAATCTGCCCAATTTTATCTAGCAGTCTGTCTTTAATTTGGCGCATTCTAAATACTCATGTGCACATACAAATCTTTGTCAAAAGAAAGCACTAAAAATAAGTAAATTCAAAGGGAAAACTGTCATCTCTTTGTGGAACCAAAATGAGGAAGTTAAAAGAAAATGATGTCAAAATGCCTTTTAAATGAAAAACATTGGTATTGATCGTATTATTACATTTTAAATTCTGATTTAGAGTTCTCTCTCTATAGAGCAGGTCACTTCCATATTACAACAAAACCATTCGGTTTTCAACTTGGCGATTATTTCCTAGATCAAGACAGATATCCAGGGCTGGGTTCTGTATTGGTTATCTATTGCTTCATAACCGATTATCCCATTTATAGCAACCTAAGACAGCAACATTTATTGTCTTGAAGTTTCTTTGGGTCAGGAATCCAGGGCCATCTTAACTGGGTCCTCTGGCTCTGGGTTTCTCACAAGGTTGCAGGCATGTCAAGGCTCAACTGAAGGTAGGTCAGCTTCCAAAATCACATAAGTAGTGGTTGGTAGATTTCCATTCTTTGTGGGCTATTGGCCAGAGGCAACCTTCTCTTTCTTGCCTTAGGGGTCTCTCCATAGGACAGCTCACCGCCCAGCAGCTTCCTTCATCAAAGCAAGCAAACAGAGAATCAGAGAGAGAATCCGAGCAAGACAAAGTAGCCATCTTTTATAATCTGATATTGGAGGTCACACCCCAATACTTTGGTCACATTCTACTTAGTACAACCAAGTCAGTAGGTCCAGCCCACGTTCAAAGGGGGTGGGGATAAGACAAGAATTTAAAGAGTAGGAGGTAAGAATTACCAGCTGCCTACCACAGCTTCTTTACATCTACATTAACTTTCTATCTTCATACCCATAATATCAATATGTATCATCCCAAACAAATATGATTCATAGCATTGGGCTCAAAGAAATAAGATGCATGTACACACAAAAGAAGGTGCAATGACATGAGACAATGGTGCAATGGAAGACACAGGACATCAGAAGATTGATTTCTAGTAAAAAAAAAAAACTGTACTGGACGCCTGGGTGGCTCAGCGGTTGAGAACCTGCCTTCGGCTCAGGTTGTGACCCCAGGGTCCTGGGATCGAGTCCCTCATCGGGCTCCATGCAGGAAACCTACTTCTCCCTCTGCCTGTGTCTCTGCCTCTCTCTCTGTGTCTCTCATGAATAAATAGAATCTTAAAAAAAAAAAACTATATGTACCACAGCTGAAATTCTCAAATCTGGGATAAGCATTACCTCACCAATCTGCCAAAGTCATAGATAACTTAAAGACAGTTGAAAGCAGAAACTATTAAGTTGGTAAAGAGAAAAACAATGAAACAAATAACGAAGTCCAAAAACAGATTCTTTGGGGGGAAAAAAATAACAAAACTGAAAAACTGCTAGCATGACAAAGAATAAAAGGAGAAAACATGAAAGCTCAAAATTAGAAATGCTAAGGAAGAAATAATCATCAAAAGCAGAGGAAATTTTAAAAGTCTTTGGAGGGTACTTCCCATGCCCTTCCCATTCCCTCTGAGAATGTAAATGAAATAGAGAATTTCTTAGAAAGAAAAAATTGGCCTCAGTCTAACACAGCAATTATCACAGCTGTAGGTAAAGGGGTTCAAATCCTCCCCCCCTTAAAAGCACTTAGGCTAGATAGTTTCACAGGGAAATTCTTCCCAACCTTTAAGGAATGGATGATCTCAATGCTACTTATTTCCAGAAGAAATAATTTTTCTAAATTCCCTTATAAAGTCATTATGATATGGATCTCCAAGCCGAAAGAGCACCAGGAGGAAAACAAAACTCTCACTTGTGGATAGGGCTCAAGATCTTAGGCTATCCACAGCTGAAACCCAACAGTCCGCTTAAAAAAGAACGTGTGGTGGCTTAAGTGCAATTGGTTCCAGTCGTAACGTGAACAAACGTCGTTAAGTAGCAGCGACAACAAAAAATCCATCAATATTACCGTTGCATTAGTAGCGCTAAGGGGAAAAGTCGTATGATTTGTTATACAGGTTGAATTGTGCCCCCCAGCGCCGCGGACCTCCTAGCACCCAGGACCTCAAATGGGGACTCATTCGGAAATAGGGTGGTGGCAGGTGTGGCTAGCGTGGTGCGGGTCCCCGAGCCCAAGTACCGGGTGTGTCCCTAAGAAGAGTGCTCTGTGGCCCCAGGGAGCACACCGGAGACTGCCCAGGCGGGGGCTGCAGGACCACGGCTATTGGGGGCAAGGCCCTGGAGCCCCGCAGTGGGCAGGGAGGGCGCCCTGGGTGCCGGAGGGGCCTGGTCCTCGGCCCCCACTCCTGGAGCTCAGCCTCCTGCATTCTGTGGCTTTGAGCCACCCGGTTTGGGGCCTGTTGGTACCGCAGCCCCGGGAGACAGGCTGGACTCGCGGAAAGGCCGCTTAGGGGATTTGGGGCGTGCACGGGCCCAGAGCCCTCCTTGGGCGGAAAGGGCTCCTGGGTCCGGCCGCCAGCGCGGGGTCTGGGCCGGGCGCCCCTGGATGGTGGCAGTCGGGCAGGTGCACGGTGCCCCCGCAGGGGCAGGCAGGGGGGCGGGTGGCAGCCGACGCGCTTGGGGCTGCGCCTGAGGTCCCAAAAGTCACCGAGGAGCAAATGAGGAGCCTGAGAAAAGCAGTGTTTCCAGAGGGGGATCCGGGAGGCTGGCCCCCGGAACCGGCCTGGAGGCCCACGCTGGCCTGTGGGCCGTCCTTACTGCACCATTTCAATAAATCAGATTTTTTAAAGGACCTTTTTTTTAAAAAAAAGATTTTATTTCTTTATTTGAGTGAGAGGAAGAAAATGGGGGTGGGGGTGGGGGGAGAGAGCCAGAAGCTGACCACCTGCCGAGCAGGGAGCCTGAGGCAGGACTCCATCCCAGGATTGCAGCATCATGACCCAAGCCGAAGGCACATGCTTAACCACCTGAGCCCCCCAGGTGCCCTAAAAGGACTTTTTCAAGTGGAATTTTACTTAATTGCATAGACAAGGAAATGTGAATCCTGTTTGTTTTTTTTTTTCTTGATACAAATGGTAACATTCTTTACATAATGTTCTCTGTCTTGCTTTTCTCAGGATATAATTGGAGGTTGTTCCCTATCAGTGGAAGAGACGCTATCTTTTACCAACCATCTACGGATGAATATTTGGAGACACTTCCAAACAATGCCATTCTGGATTGAATGTCACGGTCGGGTGGTCTCGTCAAGGTGCCGGGCAGGGCGGATTTGGGTCCCGAGGCCCTTTGGACCCCACGGGACTACCTCGCATGCAGAGAAAGGGGGCCAAACCTGGTCTGGAAAGCCCATGTAGGCGCAGGTGAACCGGCTGGGTGCGTTCTCAGAGCCACAGAGAAGCCTCCCAGTGAGGACAGTTATATGGTGACCGCCCGCCTTGTCCACCAAGGTCATCGCAGTGAGCGCTACGTTGGTCACACGGATGAAGGCAGCCTCCAGGGCTAAGTACCGTAGTCCTTTCCCAGGGCTGCCCTAACGAATGGCCATTCACTGGATGGCTTAAAACAACCCAACTTCGGGATCCCTGGGTGGTGCAGCGGTTTGGCGCCTGCCTTTGGCTCAGGGTGCGATCCTGGAGACCCGGGATCGAATCCTATATCGGGCTCCCGGTGCATGGAGCCTGCTTCTTCCTCTGCCTGTGTCTCTGCCTCTCTCTCTCTCTGTGACTATCATAAATAAATAAATTAAAAAAAAAAAAAACCAACCCAACTTCATCCTCTCGAAGTTCAGGGGGCCATAGTCCGACACCAAGGTGTGGGCAGGGTTGTTCCCCTCCTGGGGGCTCGAAGGGAGGTCTGTGGCCTGCCTCACTCCTTGTTTCTGGTGACTGCTGGTCATCCTTGGTGGCCCGTGGCTTGTGGGGTATCTCTCCAGTGTCTTCCTCTGTTGTCATCACACGGGGTTCTCCCTGGGTACGTACAGTTCCTAATATCAGGCGCTGTTCCAGGCTTGGGGTTACATAGGTTTAACAACAACAACAACAGAGCCCGTGGATCATGAAACTTCTATTTCCATAGGGAGCACAGCTAATAAGACATCGAGTCGATATGTAGTTCCAGGGAGTGGTAAGTGCCGTGGTGAGAAGCAAGGTGCTGGGAGGGGGAAGACGTATTCCGGTAAGATGGTTACCTCTGAGAAGGCATATTTGTGTGAAGACATGAAGGAGAAGAAGGAGCCCGCCCTCTGAAGATCAGGAGAAGGAATATTCCAGACGGAGGGAACTGTAGCTGCAAAGGCCCTGAGGCGGGCCCAAGTTCAAGCAGGTGTGTAGGAACCACCAGAGGCCAGCATGGTGGGAGAGCACAAGGGCAGGGACTGATGGGGGGAGGTGAGCAGAGGCCACATCACGGGGGCCACTCAGGCTGTCACAAGGAGTAATACTCCCCCACTTGACAGACGAGAAGACTGAGGCTCAGAGCTCACAACTGGTAAGTGGCAGGAGGATTCCATGCAGGCCCCTGTGACTGTTTGTGGTCCAAGAATTTGTCTTTGCTCTTTGTGCTTGTCCTGGGAGCTGTGACCCGAGTGCTCAGTATGCACTCGTTCCGTGAATGCTGACCTAGCCTCGGCCCACCGCCCCGCGCTAAGACCTCGTACAGCTGGACCTCATCTCCCAGGGCTTGCATGCCGATTCCCGACGCTGAGACTCGCAGGGGCCTTCCTCTCCATTTTACGTGGGGCTCCGAGATGCCGGATGATTTTCCCCCGACCTACAGAGGTAGCGGATGCTTTCTGCAGGGTGGGCGCTCAGGCCGGCTCCCCGCAGGAAGGCGGAGGGTGAGAGGGCAGGCCGCCGTCGCCCTCGAGCTGCGTGACCTGGCCGCAGAGCCACAGCCTGGCCTCGGCCCGCACCCCCGGTCTAATTTGGGCTCAACACACGTGCTTCCTCGTTGGGAATTTGGATTCCGAGGCCGCAGTCAGCATCTGCTGAACTAGAGAGGAGGAAATGCAGAAGCTCGGGCCTACTCCAGCCGGCGGATGACCCTGCCATGTGCTCGTGAGGACGAGCTGCGCGAGGCGGGCAAGGCACCCTGGGCCAGGTCTACGCTGTTTCCATCATTATGAGGTTTCTTTCTTTCTTTCTTTTTCTTTCTTTCTTTCTTTCTTCTTTCTTTTCTTTCTTTCTTTCTTTCTTTCTTTCTTTCTTTCTTTCTTTCTTTCTTGACTCTGAGAGAGAGCATGAACAAGGATGGGGCAGGGAGCATGGGAGACAGAGGGAGAAGCAGGCTCCCCATTGAGCAGGGAACCCCAAGAAGGGGGGGCTTGGTCCCAGGATCCTGAGATCATGACGTGAGCCAAAGGCAGCTGCTTCACCGACTGAGCCCCCTAGGAGCCCCTGTGAGGTCCTTTTCTGTGCTACCCACAGATCCCTGGTATCAGATTGCCCATTTCTATTCCTTTTAGCCTCAAGAGGCCTAACTCAGATATCCAGGAATTGGCAGGACATGGAAACTGAGGCTCTAGAGCTCAGATGGGAGCAGTTTCCCACCTGTGTTAGGGGTAGGGCATCACCAAGGCCGTAGTCACTCTTACTGCCATGGAAACCACCGGTCCCCACCCTACTTCCCTAAACCCCCTCCCGTCCCCAGCCTCCTGGGCTGTTGGAGAGGGTGACACAGTCTGGGCTTCCTAAGAGATTCGGGAATTCAGTGAATCTACTGAAAATATTTAACCTCCTAATGAATCAAATTGCTTCCTGGGCTTTGCTGGAAGCCTCGTCACTTTATATGGATTAAACATTCTGAGATACAAGCCAACTTTTGGCACACAACCCTTCCAGAATTTGCAAACTACTATATATGAATTTTAGTGCTAACGTATATCTTTGCACGTACGTTATGTAGAGTACCTGAGGATTGACAGGCTTACAGCCTAGAGACTTACCATTTGTTGATAAATTGATCAAAGCCCTAGGCTCCATGGGCTACCTGGCTCACCGAAAGGCTGAAATGTGAAGCACAGAACCCATCTTGTGTTGTTCACGGTGCTACCCTTTTTCTTCTCTCTCACTAATGAAAACGATTTTTCCTCTTTGGACACTTCCAATAAATCACCAAACATAAATTCTCTTAGGGGGAAAAAAACCTTTTCAGGTTGGAAGAAACTCTAGCTTAAAACCTTGCTTTAAAAGAAAACATTTACAGGTGCTGTTCCTGCAAAAAGGGGGGCGCAGAAAGAAGGCAAACAGTAAGAAGAAGGGCTCGGTCTTGGATTTGCCCCGCGGCAGACATTTGAGGGAGGTCCCATGCGCATCCTCGCATAAGGACGAATATTGGAGAAGAGTTTGATTTCAGCCAGAACTTCTTGGTTTGAATCCAGTTGAATCCAACCATATGATAAAAACAGTAAGTTTTTTTTTTTTAAGATTTATTTACTTATTCACAAGAGACACACACAGAGAGAGGCAGAGGCACAGGCAGAGGGAGAGCAGGCTCCGTGCAGGGAGCCCGATGTGGAACTCGATCCTGGATCCCAGATCCTGGGGTCACGCCCTGAGCCGAAGGCAGATGCTCAACCACTGAGCCACCCAGGCATCCCTTCCAATAAGTTTTGATGGATTTTGAGCACTTTGTGCGAAACAGTGCAAAGTTTAGCATATTATACCTAACTAAAGAACCCGAAGGAAGGGACAGATCTCTTGTGCCGAGCAGTGCTAAGTCAACCCTTCTCTTTGTTTGGCTTTTGCTTTGATAAAACACATCAAAACATCTAATAAAGAAAAGTGAATAGTTTCTTCCAGTTCCATCAGGCTTGCATTGGGGTTGGTCAAGCCCAGGGACTGAGTGCTCTAGTGCAAGACAACAAAATAAAATATATTTGACTCTTCACGGGTGGTATATTAGGAATGGTCATTTTTATTCTTTTTTTTTAAGATTTCATTTATTTATTCATGAGACACACACAGAGAGAGAGAGAGAGAGGGAAGCAGAGACACAGGCAGAGGGAGAAGCAGGCTCCATGCAGGGAGCCTGACGCGGAACTCGATCCTGGGACTATAGGATCACGCCGTGGGCTGAAGGCGGCGCTAAACCACTGAGCCACCCGGGCTGCCCTGGTCATTTTTATTCTTAAAGAACATTCCCTATGAATATCACTCATGGTTGAGTCCTTTCTAATAACCAGTTTCCTGGACATTTTTATCATACTATTCAATATACAAATTCAGCTAACGGCACACTAAGGCTGTGTTTATTACATAGACCAGGGTAGAAGCCTACCACTTGGTTATCAAAAATTTAAAGCCTCCAAATAAGCTTCCTGAATCCAAGGAAAGCATTTTTAGCTATAGTTCATGCATATATTCATGAATCATCTACAAGCTGAAAATTGGTCGGAAAACTTCACAGATACTCACCTCCAACACAGTGCCTAATAAACAAAGCCAGTCCCGGAATAATACGGAACAGTATGTACGGCATTTTGCTACTTACGTTTAGGATATTAAAAGACACAAAACACATATTTGTGTGTGCGCGCGCGCAAGAACAGAAGAAGATCCAGGATAAAAACACCCACTTGCTAACGTTCAGCTCCTGGCATAGGCTAGGAGCAAACGGGAACTTGCAGTTTTCACTCTGTGCACTTGGTATTTGTTTGAGTTTTTCCCAGCCACATATAACTTCCTGGGATTTGAAAAGATTTGTTTTTTTCTTTTAAAACTCCTAACTGGGGGCGCCTGGGTGGTTCAGTCAGTTAAGGGTCCTGGGATTGAGCCCTGAATCGGGCTCCCTGCATGGAGCCTGCTTCTCCCTCTGCTTCTCTCTCTCTCTCTCATGAATAAATAAATAAACCTTAAAAAAAAAAAAAAGAACTGGAAACTGATCTCCCTGGGCCAAGATTCATTGTTGGCCACACTTAGCTGAGCTGAGTATCTGCTGTTCTCTCTAGATGGGCCCCATGCTGGGGTTCTCTGCAGTTCTCCTCGCTCCGTGTTCTGTTACATCCTTCTCTCATTGCTCATTTCATGGTTGGCTCGGTCCCTGAAGCCTTTGGGTTTTACAGTCATGGCACTTAAATCAAGGAAGGCCGATGCTGCTCCTAAGCAACGCTATCCACTGGGATACCATCTCTCAATGGCTGATGCAGAAAGAAATCATCATCCCTTTCCTTAAGGCACCTGGATAGAGCCAGGGAGACAGGACAGGCGGTGGTCCCGTAAACCTAGTTAGAAACCTGGCACCCAAATCTTCTCGCCTTCCTCAAGCATAGCTAGTAACAGTCAGTAAATGATCCTATATTTGAATTTCCCTGAAGAGGGTGGAATGTCATCCACGTGGACATTTGTAGGATTTCCATTGAGGGTACGTTCACACATTGGCAATTTTAGTAAGGTTACTGTCTTGCTTAAATAGCCAACCCTTACCTCTCCAGAACAATTAACCAGAGCGCTGATTTGTAATTTTGCCCATCAGCCTTTCTCCTGCTACCAGCCTTCCTTCCTGCTAATTCCCTCTCCCACTGCCGGCAGGGCTAGGAGGCAGAGTGATCTGCATACCCCTGGTTCAAATCCAGGTTTTTCATTTAGTCTTCGGGCAATTCTCTTAATTCTGAGCCCAGCGAGAACCCTCTGTACCCGTGCGGTATTAGTATTTTACAGCCTACTTTTTTTGAAGGGTCACAGAATCTTCTCCAGATCCCCCAATTTTTTTCCAATCTGCATTATCACTTTCTCAGCCTCCCCTATGTCACTTGGCTAATTCACCCCGCGAGGTGAGATAGAAAGCGTTGAATGCCGCGGAACCGCCGCCTGACAGCTGCTCTCCGGGTCAGGGAAGGCTGCGGCCGGAGCCACGTGGAACAATCGAACCCACTTTGATCTCTGGACGGTGTGTGTTGCCCGTGAGTTCGAGGGTCTCAAGTACTAACAGCTCCTATAAATGTTTTATGTCTCAGCCAAATACCAGCATGCGGCCCGGTTAACAAGCGCCTGTGGAGACGCACAGATCCCCATTCTGATCACGAATTGGATTCACGGACCATGGTAAGTGCCATCTGTATACATGAGGTCATTGTTCTCGTGGGTTGGCTGAATGGTAGGAAGAATGCGGGAGGGTTCTTTCCGTCCACTGGAGGATCGCTTTCACACATGAGGTCTTAATTCATAAAGAGACAGGAAGTTGTCCCCTCTCTGTCAGGGGGTGCAAAATCCTCTCCCCAGCCTGGGTTAAGGAGTCGACTTCTTTTTTTTTTTAATTTTTATTTATTTATGATAGTCACACACACAGAGAGAGAGAGAAAGAGAGAGAGAGAGAGAGAGAGAGAGAGAGAGAGAGAGGCAGAGACACAAGCAGAGGGAGAAGCAGGCTCCATGCACCGGGAGCCCGATGTGGGATTCGATCCCGGGACTCCAGGATCGCGCCCTGGGCCAAAGGCAGGCGCCAAACCTCTGTGCCACCCAGGGATCCCCGACTTCCTTTTCTATACTTGGTTAACCTTCACTTTGGTGGCTGGTTTCAGAGGAGTGGCCCTGCTGAATCTGGGCCAGTGTCACTGACCTATAAATGTCACGCACGTCTCGTATCAGCCACTGCACAGTAAATAGCCCCCACATCTGACGGACTTCTAGGAGAAAGTGCCAGAGCTGGGGAGTCCAAGGGCAGGAGTGCTCCCACCGCCGGCCAGTGTCTGCTCAGCTAAACTCATGGGCTTTTAAAATAAAAGAAAATAATAAATGAAATAAAATAATAAGTAAAATAAAATCATGGGCTTTTGTTGGACTTGCTGTACGGGAGGAAGGAGGACAATTTTTTTGGGGGGGGCTATTGAAGTTAATACAATTTTATCTTATAGATTCATGTCTTTTCTCTGTTTTTTTTTTTTTTTTTTAATAATACTTCCAAGCTCTCCCTTTCACCACAGGGCTGGAAGCCTAAAAACAGCATTTCTGAAACTCACTCTCACTGGCACAGGGCCTATTTAGAGTCCTCCAATGGGAGATACTGGTGTGATACTGGGTGCACCGTCCTGCGACGCTGGCAGCCTCATGTGGAAGCTTCCAAACATGACAGGTGTGAGGTTTGGCCACCGGCTTCTGGGTGCCTTGCTGTGAATCACCTACTCCCTATGACTCACCACACAATCCCATGATTCCTTTATTTCCTGATCACCTAAATGCCACCGTGTTGCAGCTGGAGTCCCAGGGAAGCCAGTGGTGTAGGTCCAGGCTGAGCCTGAAGGCCTGAGAACCAGGAGAGCCACGCTGTGCGTCAACACTGAACAAACATTATCTCTAATCATCATAAGAAACTGAAAAGTTTGGGGAAGTTTCTATTACTCCATCTAACAGATGAGAACACCGAGATTTGGGGCGGTTAAATCACTGCTACAGAGCATAATGCTAAACCGTGGCTGGCCAGCGTCATCAATTCGCAAGTGGCCTAACCATCCATGAACAGTCCTGTGCTTCAGAGAAAACACAAGTTTTGTTTCCGCTAAGCTGCTGTCGGGGAGAAGTCCCATTCAGTCCTCTTTTCCAGAAGCCACCTACAAAGTCACTGGGACAGGCGACATCATGCGCTGTGACTTTTAGAGTGGGGTGAGGAATGCAGGATTGGATGAGTCCATTCTGTGGGGAGGTCAGGCTGACGAGCAGAGATCCAGAGAGGACACTTCAGACAAGAGGCAGAAGGCACAGCACAAAGACAAGCAGGCACAGAACGGTGTGGGTGGAGGACAGGGAGGGATGAAGTGGAAACGTCAGGGCAGAGGTTCAGGGACAAGATGAACACAATGGCCTGAGCAGGATCTGCAGAGGAGGCCCTCACCACGCAGCGTGTGGATGCAGCTGTCGTCACAAGCCACTTTGTTCTAGACAGTAACCCAAACACTTTTCTGATTAGTGAATTTAATTATTTTTTGAAATATTGTATTTATTTATTCATGAGAGACCCAGAGAGAGAGGCAGAGACACAGGCAGAGGGAGAAGTGGGCTCCCTGCAGGGAGCCCGATGGGGGACTCGATCCCAGGACCCCGGGGTCACGTCCTGAGCCGAAGGCAGGTGCTCAACCACTGAGCACCCCAGGCGTCCCAGTGAATTTAATTATGAAGTCAGGCTGATAAAAGTGTACTAAATACTAACTTTAACTTACAAAAAAATAAGCAGTTACTGAGTACCAGCACAAGCACTGGACTACATGAATTTGTCTTAAAAAAAAAAATGAAAGTGAAACCAATTGTCCACTTAAGAACTAGGACAGGTCTCCATGCAGTGATTAAATATATTAAAAAGAAGAATTCCATTATGTTTAGAAGCCAGCACCACTGGATGTTTGTCACATAAACGGGGTATGTTTATTTTAATACAAGTAGTTAGAGGCTCGGTTCATAGGACACAAAGAAAATGGATTAGGATCTTTTTTCCCCTCTCTCTCAGATGATGTGGATCTGAATATCTTCATTTTGAAATATAAATGGAGAAGAAAAGCTTCATTGCACCAACTTTAATTAGGTGGACAAGTATTATATTAGTAAATCATCCACCTCAGGGGTATTATTTGGTCGAACCCGCGTTGCTTTAGGAGAGGGCAGCACTTCTCAAAATGATCACAGGGAAGAAGACCGCGTGATGACAGCCGCAGAGCTCATACGGCAGCCGGTCAACTAATGGGTCCTGTAATTGGCACAGAGATCAGCTTCTGCAGATAAGGGAGGAAGCATAATCATGTTGCTAAAAATACGCATCGGCGTTGGGCTCTTCAATATCGAATGGCTCACCCGGCACTAAGCGCATGAAGCCAAGCACACCTTGCAAAACAGCTGTGAGGAGGCGCCCAGAATCGGTGAATCTACAGAGAAGCGCGGGGGATCGGGGCTTGGCTAGGCCGGAGGAGGAGAGCAGACCTGGGGACCTGCTAATGGGGTTTCTTTTGGGGACAACGAAAATGTTCCAAAACTAGATCGCAGTGATGGTTGGCAGGACTGTGAATATATTATAAGGCAATGAAGTGTATGCTTGTGATGGGTGAACTTTCTGGTATGTACATTATATTCCAAAAGAACTGGTTGGGTTTTTGGGTTTGTTTGTTTGTTTTAAATCCTTTAAAAAAGAGAATCACAGAGACACCAGCCTACAGCCTTGGTATTTAGATATTTAGCCGCTGACGGCAAACGCACAAACAGCTTGTTGGGCAAAAAATAATCCTGGCTCCGAACAACCACTACCAGTCAGGGTTTTATGGTGCCGAGCCGTCCAAAGTATTCCTAACTCCTGCACCTTCGGTTTTCATTCAACGGGTCCCACTGGGCCCTGAATGCCCTCTGCAGGGCAGGCACTGTGCCACGTAGGAGAGCAACGGCTCCATGTTCCCTGCACTCTCGAGACGGGCCAGGTGGTTTCCACGCTGCGTGTCGCCGGTGCCCGGGCCGCCCCGGGGAGGACGGCCTGTCCCCCGGAGGCCCACACGGAGGAGGGAGCCATCCCCGTGGGTCAGCCCACCGATCGCCTCGGGACCCTCCTGCCGTCCTCCCCGGAGCTGCACATTCCTGGCCCCCCATTGACTCGCTGAGTTGGATCCACTGGTGGACACTCGGCCATCGTGGCCCGGGACGCACTGGCCGTGAATCTGCAGTCACGGCGCGAAGCTCGTTTGAGCAGAACTTGCCGGCAGGGCGAAAGCTCACCAGGAGCTCGGGTCGGAAGGCTAGGGAGCCGCGACACAGGTGCAGGGCCAGCGTCTGTCCCGGACGCTGTGTCGCACAGAACTGCCGGCCCCACCCGCGCCTCTTACCTGCTAATGCGGGGCCTACTGGGAAGGGGCTGCAGAGGGCTGCAGGTTGCAACAGGCACCCCTTAAATCCAGGGTGCAGAGGCGCCTGGGGGGCTCCGTCGGTGACGCACCTGCCTTCAGCTCAGGGCCCCATCTCAGGGTCCTGGGATCGAGTCCCCACTCGGGCTCCCTGCTCTGCCCCACTGGTGCTCTCTCTCTCTCTCTCTCTGTCAAATAAATACATAAAATCTTATCAATCAATCAATCAATCAATCATCCAGATCTAGAGAGACAGAGGAAGTGAGAGACTCGAAGCCATCCACGGCGGCGTGAAGAGGAAAAGGGGACATGAAATGCAGGTGGCAGAGCCTCTGGGAGCGGGAAGCAGCCCCGACTCAGGACCACCAAGGAACGCAGGCCCCAGGCCTACTGCAGTGAACTGGATTTTGCTAAAACTGCGGGAGCAGCCCCGCTGGCATCAACCTTGTCAAACCCTCGGCAGAAGACCCAGCGCAGCGGTGCCCAGAGGCCTGACCCCCCCAAAACCGGGAGGGGATGATGAACGTGGCTTCAGACGGCTAAGCTGGTGGCGATTCTCACGTGGGAAAAGAAGACTAAGAGCAAAGCCGAGCGAGGGGGGACAGGGTACAGGGGGGGCCAGCGACGTCCACTCCCGCGGCAGGAAGGGCCAGAGCAGCCCCCCGACAGCGAGGTCCTTAGACGCCCCTTAAGGACACGCAGAGGCTGGGGTCAGTCAGGGCCGCCGGCGGCGCCAGGCCCCGGATCCCTCTCTCCGAGCCGCTGCGGCCACTGGGCGGTGGTAGCCAAGTCCTTCTACCCCCCTGAGCCCTGGCCACGTTGCCCTGTCTCTGTGTCAGGAGGAAGCAGGTGGGCAAAGGGTCCGGCCAGCTGAGCGTGCTCTGTCCCACGGAGGACGCATGATGGTTTGTGAAAGCCTGCGGAGAAAACCCCCTCACGTGGGGATTACCGGCCGCGGGCATCTAGCGGCGCTGGTGTAGACCAAGCTCCCCTCCTCCCCTGCCCCGGCCGGAGCTGCGTCCCGGGCACCACCTGCACACATCGAGGCTTTCTTCCAAGAAGGGCACAGACAACCACGGCCGCCGAGCAGGCAGCTGGGGAGGCCGATTCCTCACTAACTCGACACATATTTAGGGGCACCTATTTGGGTTAAGGCCCAAATTTACAAAGATGGTGTTGCGTGTGTGCCCACAGATACGTGGGGTGTGGGTGTGTGGGGGGAGGGAGGATGACACGGGCACGTAAACAATAATTATAGTGAGAACTGCTTTCATTGCCAAATGAGACGTCTCTACCTCCCCACGGACCACACTGTCCTCCTCACCATAGATTCACCAGGCGAATCACAAAAGCGGCTATACTGGGACCCAAGAAAGCATATATTGATCTGTGCTTCTGAAAAAGAGAAAGTGTCTTCATTGGTGGAAAATATATTTAGAGCAAACTTCTAAGAACTATTGAACTAAGTATGAATCAATGCCGTGAACTAAATTTAGGCAAGAGAACTCGCTCTCATTTAAAATGCAAAAGCGATAGACACGCAGATGCGCAATGCTCTCCAAATGCAGTGTTGCAACCCGGCTCTTTTATGGGAACTGTTGCACTGAGTGTTAATTTACATAAGGTTCGCAGATGCACCACCCATTTTAATGTACTTTGGATACATAAATAAATAAATATATATATATTTCAAATATTCAGCCTGTGGTTCGTGGATCTCATTCTTGTGTAATGTCTTTATGGAAACAATATTTTTTTCCAAACCATAATTGGACGATATGGAATATGACCCTCGAGCTTATTAGAGAAATGAATTCAGGGACTAATTGTTTTTGACATAAACCTCGACTGCTTCACACTAACATAATTAACCAGATGGATTTTGCTCTGACTTTCTAGGCCCTTTACAACTACCGTAGATGTACGTTAGGAGCATTGCTAGCGTGCTTCTCTACTCCATGATGCTCTTTAAAGAAATCTCTAAAAATAAAACTCTTTATTAGAATAGCTGGGCATAGGCATCGTGGGGTTGCAATCTAGGTCCTTCTAATTCGCCGCCCCAGCCATCTGCTTACTGCACCATTTTGCCTTCCCTCCCTGTGCTAAGCACCGCCGTACTGTGTAAGACAAGTCCTGCTGCCTCCAAAGAAGAGGAATCAGCATCAATATCGATTCATTTCGTCGTTCATTCACATATCCCCTTTGGAGACCATTCCGCAGTAACACACTTTTTGGCTCTAGTGGCTCCATCAGCAGTGGCTGGGCTTCCAAACACTCTGTTCCCGCGGCCTACACCGGCCCACAGCTTCGGGCATCGCCAGATGCAGACTGACCTGAGCCCTGCAACTTTGTCTTTTATGACCTGCTTTTTAAAGTTAGAATATTTTTCACCTGTAATTTGTGCACACAGGAAAACAAGCCCAGAATTCCAGGACACTTGGAGCTGTTCCCAGTGGTTTGTTTTTTTTTTTTTTTCCCCTAAGAAACCAGAATGCAGCAATGCAGTGAGGATTCTGTAGTATTCATCTTGGTGCAGAGTTTCTCTTAATGACTTCTGGGTAAACTCCTGGGCATGACCTTGCTGGATCAAAGGGTTGTGCATTTTTAATTTTGAAAGATATTCCAAAATTATCCTGCAGAGAGATGTCATCAATTTGAAGGCGCTCTAAAGAGCACATGAAACTCCTTTCCTACTCAATTCTGAAACTAAGCACTAGCAATATTTTAAATATTTGCCTATTTGGTAGGGGAAAAGGGCATCTCAGGACTTTACTTGCTTCTTTATAATTATAAGGGTTTATTGCCCTAATGTGACTCCTTTGTTAGGAATTCTTTTATCATTTTCCTTTGCTCATTTTTCTATTTTTTTCTATATTTTTTCTCAGTTGCTTATGGATTCT